TATTACGTGTATGTGTGTGTGTGTGGTGTTTGTTATATGCTCTTAAGCTGTGTATCCGTAATGTAAGTATCATTGTATAGATATGTTATATTATACATAGACTATACACACATACTACGCATCTACAACACATATCAACACATATGTTGTATATCTAGTTGTAATATATTGATTCGTCATCTATTCCGTGCATGTTTTGTCGTGCCATTGTTGTTGTGTGTGTTGTGTGTGTGTGTGTGTAGATAGTGTGCTCGTGTGTGTGTGTATGCATGTATATGTATATATATGAATACATATATGTATTTTATTTATTTTATGGATAAATCAAATAAAATTTCACCATTATCCCGGTCCTTTAACCCATGCTGGCTGCATTTTCTTATGTTAACAGAGACACCTGTATGCTACTAAACTCGCATACATGAAAGATTTTGATTCGATGCCCTATTACAATACCGGTTGCACGTTCCCGGGTGATTTTCTATTAATATTTGGAGCGAGTGTGCCTGCAAGACAAGTCATCCCGTGTGGCCGTAGTGATTTCACGAATGTGCATGACACGAAATAAAAAGATAACGGTCTATTCATGCCTCAAACCTCAAAAAAAAAAAAAAAAATAAAAAAAAACAACTTACTCAGCATTTTTTCGTTAGTTCTCGGCAGTCTAGCGTCGTGGATGGATTATAGGATATATTTGTTTATACAGATGTTTATTTTACGTATTATACCACGATAATGAAACTGTAATTTTATGTAGTAAATATCGGTGGTTAGTAGCGTGGGAAGATCATATACCACAATGTGGTCAACCCTGTTGTTATGAAAATGCCAAGAAACAAACTGTTGTTAATGAAAATGCCAAGAGAACAAACTGTTGTAATGAAAATGCAAGAAATTTATTCAGAAGACCTTTTACTCTATAGATAATATCAAGACTAAATTTTGAAGCTTGATTTGATTATGATAGTTTAATAAATTTCTGATATTTTGAGCATAACGTTAGATTTTTCATGTAAAAACAAAAGATAATTGAAAAGTAAAAGAAAGAAGCCGTCTACACTTCATCTACATTATAACAATTTGCAGGAAGTGGATATTTCGTTTATATTGAGAGTAGTTTGCAAAGGAGGAAAGTGCAAAAGTGCGTAGCCCAATTTCGATGATTTTCGATCATCATTATGATTGAATTACAATGGAATTCAAAAGTGACACACAGCCTTAAGCTTTTAATTTTTACATAGATAACATAAATGTGCGTGTTGTGATATATCGTTTTGGTTGTCAGTATTCTATGTATATATACTTAAGAATATATATATATTGTATATATTTATATATACATAAATATTGATATAATAGAAATATTACTTTACGTAGTATACTCATTATATATACTATATAAGATNTAACGTGTACACAAAAATGAAAATGAAACTAGCCACAATGAGAACTTGAAGAAAGCTTGACATTTTGAACTCTTCACGAGATCCTCTTCAGACAAAACCCATTTCAATAATTTTGTCTGAAAGAGGAACTCGTGAAGAGTTCGAAACATTACGCTTATTTTCAATTCTCATTGTGCTAGTTTCATTTTCATACATACATACACATACATACATACATACATATATATATATATATATATATATATAATATATATATATATATATATATTAATATATATATATAATATATATATATATATAAAAATATAATTAATATATATTTATATAATATATATATTAATAGAAAGCTTCTCTGCAACTAGGACTTGGAAACCCAAGACAACCAAATTCAAAATGAGAATGAGCACCCAATAGTTGTCATAACAGTTGAGCTTTTATCAAATGTGATACAGTCTTTATTAGAAATCATGGTTTCAAGAACATAAAAATTGTTCCCATAAAGCTAGAGCAGTGGCAGGCTTGTGTTTGACGAGTCCATGAAGTTTTTCTGGAAGTCACTTAAAAATACTGATGGAGCTATCCATCTTCATAGGTTGCACATGCATGTGTCAATAACACCGGAAATAAAGCACACATGTGGCTAGACATGCAGTCGAGGATGCCCTGCTGCACTACAGTACAAAGACCACAGGTTTTAATATAAGGAGAGAAAGGAAAGAAAAAAATTGCTTTAGTGATTATATAAATAGTGGAATCTTCATAGCAGTATACTTGACTACAGGGGAGCATAAAAGGTTAATCTATTGTAACTTCTACATGGGAAAGACTTTGGCGGCATTATCGGTAAAGCACACTCAATGTCAACGGATGACAGAACTAGACTTGTAACCGTAAAGGAAACCATTTCCAACAGCCAGAGATTGCCTAAAGGCAGGTAAAAATTTCCTGCAGTCATCCATACTTAGATAAGGGATTCAGAAGAGAGTGAAAAAGCTTGTACTCCAATTAATGTCTCAGGTGAAAGAAAATACATCATCTGGAGAGCAGAGGCAAAAATGGGGCTTATAAAAGTCAAGTCACAAGAATATGCTTTTCTGTTAAAGAACAAATAACCTACAATGCTTCAAGTCAGGAAAGGGAACCCATTTTTCCTGGGTGACCTGAATGATGCACCTACATCAAGTGAGGAGGGAAGATGTTATCATTTATACAAGCAGTTTAGAAAAGACACCGTACACAAAGCCTTTGACAGAACCAAACCATCTTGGTTCATTCTGGTAATGCTGGGGTTGAAGATGAGATTTGATCTTCACATAGGATGTAATGCATTGAGGTCCCCTCAAACTAGCACCTCAGAAAGGCAAGGTAAATATGAAAGTATGATCAGACTGAAACTCCATGATCAAGAAATTAAAGCTAATATATCATGGAATGCATAGGCCGTGATTCTCTGCATCTGTTAAGAAGAAAAAATCCAGACACATAGGATTCTTGACAAAGAACATGACCTCTGGTTGGAGTTAACATGCAAAGCAAAATATTTGCTGGAGGTGTTTAGCAGGGTTTAGGGAAACAAGGATGGTATAAATTCTTCCTATTCAATGGCATACTTAAGAGGGTTATATGTTCTGAAGGTTTGTGATTTCCCCAATGACATATTCTTTTTCTTCATAAAACACAAAAGTTAAACAGTCTTTCTTTTTTAAAGTTCTGGTACCTTTTTCATTACAGATACCCTCACCCTCTCTCCTAGAACCCTGGCAGTGCATTTTTACCTGATGCTGTCTGAATTTTAAGCAGAAGCTACAGGTGATTCTTTTGCTGATCAGGTTGAGCAGTAATGGTGGAAACAAACTAGAGCCATGATGAACAATCTTTAGCTTGTCAGAAGAAACGGGTGGGTGTCACAGAAAATGGTTTATAAAGCACATGGGTTGATGCAGCTCACTGCAGCAGGAATAATATGAGGATGGAGCAGGAAAAGGGAGGGGTAAAGACAGACTTTGATATTCTAAAATTAAATGCTTTAGAAATAAGATCTCAGCATTTGAGGTACTTATTTCCATCATTAAACCGACAGTATTGTGAATGAGTGTAAAGTTAGATTAACGTCAAATGCATATATAGTACTAGATGTTAGATACTAAATTATTGCTCTCAAAAGCTGTCCTGATAATATATATCTTTTGTAGTTGTTCATTTTACTATTCATATTTACTGATATATAATATCTTACTTACAGCCTTTTCTTTGGCATTCATTAGCGAGGCAGCTTTCACTGAATGACCTATGAGAAATAATAATCAGTATAAATCAATGTATAAAATCCATCTTTGTACTTTGTCTAAAGGTTTTAAGATTTTAGGTGTTTTGCAGATTTCTATCAATGGATATTAGCAATTATGACAAGGTTCAGAACTACAGTTCACTTTTCAGTTATGAATAAATGAAAAATGAAATATATTATCATTGTCAGAAGAAACGGGTGGGTGTCACAGAAAATGGTTTATAAAGCACATGGGTTGATGCAGCTCACTGCAGCAGGAATAATATGAGGATGGAGCAGGAAAAGGGAGGGGTAAAGACAGACTTTGATATTCTAAAATTAAATGCTTTAGAAATAAGATCTCAGCATTTGAGGTACTTATTTCCATCATTAAACCGACAGTATTGTGAATGAGTGTAAAGTTAGATTAACGTCAAATGCATATATAGTACTAGATGTTAGATACTAAATTATTGCTCTCAAAAGCTGTCCTGATAATATATATCTTTTGTAGTTGTTCATTTTACTATTCATATTTACTGATATATAATATCTTACTTACAGCCTTTTCTTTGGCATTCATTAGCGAGGCAGCTTTCACTGAATGACCTATGAGAAATAATAATCAGTATAAATCAATGTATAAAATCCATCTTTGTACTTTGTCTAAAGGTTTTAAGATTTTAGGTGTTTTGCAGATTTCTATCAATGGATATTAGCAATTATGACAAGGTTCAGAACTGCAGTTCACTTTTCAGTTATGAATAAATGAAAAATGAAATATATTATCATTGTGTTTCAGTACAAGAAGCACAGGCGGCCATATATTTCTTTTCTTATTCAAATTAACCCTCTTACAAACATGATCTGCATAGCTTATGCAGGGTTTAGTGGAGACAAAAGAAGCCTACATTGTAATTATACAGTTAAACAATTTCTAATAAATCTAAACCGCTTCACATCTTAACTAGTAATACGAAAAGGTGTCATTCTATCATATTTAGTAGCTGATTCTCTATTTCTCATGTCTGTGTGTGTGAGAAGTTCCCAATTGCTAGTCTTTTCTTGGTTACTTAACCACATATAAAACCAATGAAACACTGTATATCTATATCACAAATAATTTTTAGTTTTGATAAATGTCTTCATAAATACATAAAATAACTAGTTAATACGTTAAATTCTGAGATCTACAAAGTAATATCATGAAAAAATCTTCTCATAACTGGTTTGAATTCAATGGCTTATAAAACTTGATATTAATTACACTAAGCTTTACATACATGTGCTTGCATTTGTGCACAAAAACTCAAGGTAGATAAAGAACA